TTCTTGATGCATTAGCATTTAGTTCTAATACTGGCTGTAGTAGTCCCAGATCACCTCAGACACACCTTTGCAGAACCCCCTTAGGTATTTTTTTTCTATTTTTAGATTAGAAAATATAGTTTATTTAGAAAGTAAATTGGAGAGAAAGAAAGAGGAAACTCACCTCCCCAAGGTAGGGGAGGGGGGTCAAAGCTTGGAAACATGGTGATCATAGCTCAAAGAGCTACATGGACACACCAGAGTTTAACAAAGCAATGGCCTTCTTAGGTATTTTCTACAGCAATGGCCCTCTTAGGTATTTTCTACAGAATATTTAGATGATCATGGACAGCAGTGGACAAGGGAATCACTCATTAGAGAAGAAGTTTGAAGGAGAAGATAGTATCTGTTACTCTCTAGATGGAGGCATCCAGCAGGCGGTTGGATATGGATAGTGAAAGTTATGGTCTGGCAATAAGTATCTGGGAATTATTAGCTTATACTTATCAGATGAATCCATGGGGTTAGAGGAGAAAAACCAGAGAAAAGCACGAGAGTAAGAAGACCAAGAATAGGTGCTTGAGACCATCACCATGTAAGGAGTGATCAGAGAAAACTAACAAGGACGTCAGAGATTGGGGGAGAATAGAGCGTTCTGCAAAGGAGAGATGCCCACAGTTATGCCTGAGACAGAGTGGTCAAATGAGATGAGGTCTGAAAATAGCCCAGGGTTTGCCAATGGTGGGAAGTCACCGACCTTTTTCAGGCAAGTTTCAGGAGAGAGGTGGGGGTGGGAGGGGAGGTTGGGGGTGAAGGCCACAATTGCTACTTACTCTTTCAGGGAGTTTGACTTTAAGGGAAAGAGAAACTAAATGTAGTAGCAGAGGGGAAACTAAAAGCACTGCAGAGCCTACCCTGGGTCAAACCCCCATTACCTCTTGATTGAATGATTGCAGTTGCCTGCTAATTGATTTTTTGTGAGGAAGGGTCTGGGCATTGATCCAGGTGAACAACCCAGAGGCCAAGTTAAGTGAGATTGGACACTACAGATTTGTAATGTCACTAGTCTGCACACTTGAATAATTTCCTCCAGGAGTGCTCAACTACTGAGTTGTAAGAATAGATATATAGATTTAGAGTGTCATCAGGATGAATTCTACAGAGACAGAAAGGCCTATTTATTGAAGTTGTGGCAATGGGTAATTAAAAAGACATACTATTGCTGTGTTGTCGGATATAGTATCCACTAGCCTTATGTGACTATCTAAATTTCAATTAATTAAAATTAAATAAAATTTAAAATTCAGCTTCTCAGTCATACTAGCTATATATCAAGGGCTCAACAGTCACAGTGGCTGGTGGCTACAGTATTGCTCAGCACAGAAGTAGAATATTTCCATCATCACCAAGAGTTCTTTTGGAAAACACTGCAGTATAGGCTCCAGATTGGATAAAGCTGAAGTCTTGATGAAGCTGAGTGGCAGATGTGCAGGGAGTAAACAAGAGAAAAACCTGCAGGAATAGGGGGTGTGGACAGAGATGCGCATATTGAGATTAAGATTCTAGGAGTTGAGTTGTTCCAGGTGATGAGGTTCGGGATTATGCCATAAGAAGGAGGGCTGCTGAAATAGTGTATGGATGAAGACCTTGGGGCTTGACAAGGCCAAAGAACCTTGAGGCAAGGTTGTTGGTGGACTCATCCATGAAGAAGTCACCCAAACTGATGTCAAGAGTCAGAGTCAAAGACCTTGCATCTAATGCCAAAATCTTCATTACACTAGGGAGTCGTGACCAATGATTAGCAGCTAAAACAAAAATGAGAGATGAGGACACCTCAAAAAGAGGAGAGTGTTGCTCAAGGCTCCCATGAAATGTGATGATACAAGCAGTAGCTAGCTGGGGGACCAGTGGTTTTCTCCGGGTAGGACCAGATTTCAGTGAAAGAACAACCTTGGGAGAACAGTCAATGAAGAGATTAAGGATGTAAAAGAATTTAGTTGTAGTTATTGATGGAATGAGGCTTCCAGAGCGCTGAATAAAACATTGGAGGAAGCTTAGTAAAAGGAATATTTGTGAGTACAAATAAGCATATTAACACCTGTAATCCTACCACTTTGGGAGGCCGAGGCAGGAGGATTACTTGAGCCCGTGAGTTCAAGACTAGCCTGGGCAGTAGAGCAAGATGCTGTCTCTAATGAAAGAAAAGAAAAGAAAAACATAAGGAAGAGATGATTCTTGAATATATAAGACATGCATTTGGGGTAGTGGCCAGGGAAGACTGAAGTCCCAATGGAGTCAGAGATCTCACAGGTTAGCAAACTATTTTTGTGTGTGGCATTCAAACAGTACAGTATGTTTCTGAGGAAGTCCTTAAGTATCCTTCAAAACCAACTCCTTTAGCTAGTTAGGAAGGCACCTAGCTGGATTCTTCAGTACCTCACTCCTGACACCATCATAGCCATCAGTTATAACTAGACCTCAATCATTCCTCTTACCCAAGTCCTGAGGAAGGAGAGATTCTCAGTGATTACCCACCCATAGAGTCCCAGTGAGTCTGGATTCTAGGTGACCTGAGGTCTGGGTTGTAACAGGAGAGGCCTGAAACCACTTGGGGAAAACATCTTGAACTAAACCTTCCCCATCTCGTCAGAGAGGAGATTGGCAGGATCCCCCATGCTTGCTCTGAGTGAGATCATGGAAGCCAGTGGCTGGTGAGGTGCTATGGAGTATAAATTGTGAAATATTTTCAGTTCCTCTCAGAATGGACTTCAGAGTAATTTCCATCTCACACAGGGAGGAGTCGGCGGCGGGGGAGATTGGGGAGGAATGGGTGGAAACAAATTTCTCCTGTTATCTTCTGTGTCCCACTCTGGAGACAGAAGCAGAGAGCCTCTACAGCAGCTGCTCAAACTGGAGCTTTGTTAAAATGCAGATTCTAATTCAGGAGATGTTGGGTGGGACCAGAGATCCCATGTTTCCGATCAGCCCACAGGTGATGCCAATTGGTCTACCGATCACACTGTGGGTTGGTAGGTGAAGAGGGGAGCATTTTGATGAGTGGAAGAAAAGGCCCTTGCAATATTTAGGAGAAGGGGCGGGCGCGCTTGCATGAGAGAGAGAGAGAGAGAGAGAGACAGTGAGAGACAGTGAGACAGAGAGAAGTCAAAGCAGAAGACGCTAGGGGTGAAGTCATTTCCCGGTTCAGAAGGTCAGAAGGCACAGTTGACAGCTGAGTGATAACATAATATCAACCATTCACTGGCAGAATTTTCAACTTGGTGTTTGCTTTCTCCATTAGGTCATGTCCCCTATATCGGATAGAAATTAGGCCAAAACCAGAACATATTTTCCCAAACAGCACTAGAAGCTTTTACAGCAGGTGGCACTCTTGTATCACATTAAGCGCTCAGCAAGGGAGAACCAGAAGCTTCAGGTCCTCCGAGATAATTACCAGAACGCAAGAACTCTTCCTTAGGTCCCTCTTTCATTCTCTAGGTACCCACATAGATGTTCCCTCCTCCCTCCAATGCCGGCATGCATCTTGTACAGATGGTGCATTTTACACCTCAGGTCTTCACAGAGTGTAATGCAGTAGGCAGTGATTTGAATGTGTGCAAGCTCTCACTGATACCTGGAGTCTGCTTCCCTCAGAGTTCAAGACTACTACCCACCCCTTGATTATGGGTTCTCGCTGGGCCATTCTACACAGTTTAGTTTTGCCAAGTACGTGTCATTGTTATTTGTCCTGTTTTCTCCTCTTTGAAAAGAAACCCATTCATCAGATCAACTTCATTTCTCCCCCACCAATAACAGTTCAAATGAAACTCCTCTCATTTCTCTCACCATTCTCCTTAATGTCAACAGCCCTTTGCTGAAATTCTGAATGATGAAAGTGTATTTAGAACCTATGCAAACTTCTTCCCCCAAGGAAATATTCAACTTCATATTAACCAAGAAACAGTAATGCCACCCTTGTCCCCTGTGCTTCTCATCTAGCGCTAGTTACTTTCTTTGTCCTCTCAAGTAATTCTGTAACTCAGAAAAAGTCCTACAAAAACTCTGTAATCGATTACATTTATGTGCCCTTAGGGACCAAAGCCTTCTTCTACATGCTCCCTGTTGGTTGTAAAAATTTCCAGGGGCAATGCATACTGGGAGCAGCAAGTTTGTGGTACCTGGGGTTTCCCCAATACTCCCAAAGCATATCCTCACTTTTCCATCTATGATTCACTTCCAGCATTTCATTCATGTGCCTTACATGGTCTCTGACCACTACAATCCCAAAACAGCTATTATGTTTGCCCAGTTCTCGTTCTGATCCCTGAAAGAGCTTAGAGAGGTCACTGTGAATAGAGACCTTTGCTCACTATTCAAGTCATTTTTAAACCACTTGACATCCTTGTGAGTGCTGGCCATGGGAGCAGCAGTCATAGGGGATGGTCTGTAAAGGGAACTGTTTCCATTTCAAAGATATTACTCAATGTGATTCCCAACTAATGAAGCATCCGAGGGGACTATCAAATGTATTACTATTATCAGCCATCTTTTCACCATAGCAGACCAAGGAATAAGGGGATGAGGAGGAGAAGGGAAAGCTCTTGGTGATGGTGTAGACATCAAAGAGCCTAGAACAGCTATGATGATGAGAATCAATATTCAGGTTATGGGAAAGTTACAGGTGGGTGAATGAGTTGTCTAACTCTGTCTTGGGGTTTCCCTGCTTAAAATTTAAAATCACAGAACCATAATTCTAGAAAGACCCTGTGAAAATTTAGTCAACCCCTTCATTAAACAGATGAGAAAACGAAGGCTCATAAAGGTTGCGGTTTGCACAAGGCCACACATTTCCCTAGTAGTGAAGCAAGGACAAAAGTCCTAATCTCCGGATGCCTAGCTTGTATGCACAGATCCAGATATTAACAACTAATTCTTTAGCATCATTACTGATGAAATAGCATTTGGGTATTGTACAAAGAGAAATGGAGTTATGTGTATTTTCTTCTTCTTTCCTTTTCTAGGGACTGTTTCCCTGAAGATTCAGGCTTATTTCAATGAGACCGCAGAGCTGCCATGCTTATTTACAAACTCGCAAAACCTAAGCCTGAGTGAGCTGGTAGTGTTTTGGCAGAACCAGGAAATGTCGGTTCTGTATGAGCTATACTACGGCAAAGAGAAACTTGACAATGTTGATCCCAAATATATGGGCCGCACAAGTTTTAACTCAGCCAACTGGACCCTGCTACTTCACAACATTCAGATTAAGGACAAGGGCTTATATCAATGTTTCATCCATCACAAAGGACCCAATGGACTGATTCGCATTCACCAGTTGCCTTCTGACCTGTCAGTGCTTGGTATGTAGTCAATAGTGTGTTCAGATTCTTGGTCTTCTGAGATGAAACCACAATAAGTAGAGAAACATTGGAATGGGGGGAGGGGACTTGAGGGAGTGGGGTTGGGGAGAGAGGAGGACTACTGAGAGAAGGCAGAGAACAGTCATTTCTGGGAAGTTCATTTGAAAAGAGTACAGGGTCTGGGAGTAGGAACTGAAAGCTCTTGGTACTTTTCATAGTTTGTTCTGAAGGATCAGTAAGCATCTGCTTTGGGGACAAATACAGCTAACTGAACAAAGGTAATATAGCTAAGTGAAAACCAGGGGCGATTTGGCCCTTACTAAGTGTATTTAACCATAGAGGCCTCAAGTCTTTTTGCTCCTTTCGTCCAAGATTTTTTACCTACCACGTCTTTGCCAGAGCTCCTAGCGAGGGTGACAGCTGACTGATCTGGGTTTTTCCTTCAACCTCCTATAGGTTGCTTGTTAGTTGTTTGCTGTTACAACCATAAGCCCAGTAGACAGAAGGTCAATAACTCCACAAACATAACCCACAAGTGAACAAATCAGCTCTTCCATTTTACCAGTCCTCAAAAAGCCTAAATGTCTCTTACAGATTTTTTAAAACTATAATGCAGTAAAATTGTTTTTTTTTTTTTGTTTTGGTGTAGAGTTCTATTAGTTTTATAAATTATATGTAGATTTATGTAACTACCATTATGAACAGGATATAGAGCATTTCCATCACCCTAAAAAAATTCCTGCATGCTATCTCTTCATAGAGTCATACCCTCTGTGCACCCATAGCTCTTGTTTTGCAGTCTATGGTTTTATCTTTTTGAGAATGTCACATAAATGGAGTCATACAATATGTGACCTTTTAACACTGATGTCTTTTATTCACCATGTCTTTTCAAATCATCCAAGTTGTTGCATGTATCAAAAATTTGTTCCTCTTTGTTGCTGAGTAGCATTCGTGGCTTATCCATTCAACTCAATTAAAGATATTGGGTTGTTTCCAGTTAGCGGCTATTATGAATAGAGGTGCTGTAAACATTCATGTACAGGTTTTTGTGTGAACATAAATTCTCATTTCTCTAGGGTAGATACCCAGGCATGATGTTACTGAATCCAGGTTAATTTTTGGTGTAACTGGAAAAAGTAGATCAACACCTGTTCTGAAACCTCAGATCAAAACAGAGGCAAAAGTAGAAATAGAATAGTGAACTGCTAGCTTTGAACCTTTGTGAGTCAAACTAGGCTGCAGGACTTTTAGAACATTTAGCCAAATGCCAAATCAGTGCTTTCAAAATGAGACGAGGTACCATTAGTGGGACCCAGATAAGCATTTTTGAAAACAGGTTCGCATTTGTTAACTGGTAGCTATTGAAGAAGAAGAAGAGATTTAGTTGGCAGAAGGTACATGAGACAGGTCTAGGGGATACATGCTAGTGAGCCTCATAAATTTGTACATAAATTTGACCTGCTTATCTGTACAAGGTTACCCAGAATCTAAGAAGATGAGTTTTTTGCTAAAGACTGAGAATTCAACCACTGAGAATGATGGTGTTCTATATCCTGTTCATAACTTATCCAACCTGTGATTTCAGTTATTGCTAATGAAACTAAATAAGGCCCAGCAACTCACCTCCTGTAGACCAAATAAAGTACAAGAAGAACGCTCAAATACAATGTTGATACAGCAAAACATGTAAAGAATGAAATGCAAATAACTGATATTTTAATTACAAAACACTAAACTACAAATTAGCATGTAGAACCTGCCAACTACCTGGTAACTATAGAAGAAGAAAAAGAGATTTAACTGGCAGAAGGTACATGAGACAGGTATAAGGGCTACATGCTAGTGATCCTCAATAACCAAAAAAAAAAAAAAAAAAAGGTGAATGGCAAACACAGGTAAGAAAATACTGTGTTTGTACAGATCATGTATTTTTTCCCTAAAATGGCTGGATTTGACCTTCCTCTTGCAGTATGTTATAAATATAACTAGCCACTCATGTCCAAAACCAGTATTCAGGATTTCTAAATCCAAAATTCCACTCACCACCATCTTGCTTGAGTTTCTGAAAGATGCGACCCAGAGCATGCCAGCACTGTGAGCTCTGTTAGTTCCTGGTAAGACTTTAGATCAATCCCTTTCTGCTCTCCTAGTCTGGTAAGCTGAAATGTACTCCATGGGACACCTGGACCCTAGAGTCAAACCACTTCTTCTAAATAGTGGCTTCATTGTAAATCTTTGGTGCCTCCATGTCAGCCCTCCTGTCGCTCAGAGAGTACCCTCTTGATTTGGATAAGCAGGAAATAAGCTTGGCCCCAAATTCTATTCTTGAAAAATAAATGTGTGGTTATTACATGGCTCTCACCTTGGGCTGAGACCCCTAATTTAGTTACCCTGAGGCCCCAGTGAGCCCAGATCAAGTCCCTAATTATTTGCTGTTCTCGATGCATCCAAACTTAGACTGATTTCTGTGTATCTCTGTTTTGCTTTCAGCTAACTTCAGTCGACCTAAGATAGAACCGATTTCTAATGTCACAGAAGATTTGTACATAAATTTGACGTGCTCATCTATACAAGGTTACCCAGAACCTAAGCAAATGGGTTTTAAGCTACAGACTGAGAATTCAACCACTGAGAATTATGGTGTTATGCAGATATCTCAAGATAATATCACAGAGCTCTACAACGTTTCCATCAGCTTGCCTGTTTCACTCCCTGATGCTACAAGCAATGTTACCATCTTCTGTGTCCTGCAAGCGGAGACAACGCTTATCTCCTTACCTTTTTGTAGAGGTAAAGCTGCTTCCCAAGATGCTTTCTTTCATCAGGTATTATACACAAATGCTTGAGGCAGGTCATCCAATGTCCCCTATGGGCTAGAAAGCCTCTACCTGGGTCATGTTATGATGCTGTTAGGAAGGACCCATATGGAGGGCTCCTCCTTCATCTGAATTATGTACCATCCAGGAGGTTATGAGGCTATGCTGCACTTGAAGAAACATGCTCTGAGCTCTGAAACTGACCCAATCTTTCAGGTTATCTTTGGATGGATGATTCTGAAGTTATGGTCAGAAAATGCAGGATTCCTCTGGTTTAGAATTCTTCCATTTATTAAAACACACACATGTGCATGTGTGCGCACACACACAATGCATACATACATACATACAGTACCTATGTGTACAGAACCATTCTAGACATTATTGTTTACAGGGCCTTCTGATAGAATTTCTGAACATCATGATGTACACACATGGAAGACTAGATTTTAAATCTAATGGAATGGAAATGTGACTAAATTTAAAATGAAAGCAACTGATAATCAGTTTTATGTGCATTCAGAAGCAGGCAAGATCCTTGAGGGTCAGGGAAGGCTTCCTAAAGGAAGGGGGACCTTATAACACCATAAAAGAAATTATTGGGCGTAATAAGTGTTGTGAGGAGAGGTGGGAACATTCTGGATGACAGTTTTCCAAAACTATGATGACTTTCTAAGCAGAAAAATTTTGAGGCAGTATCTGGGCTCAACAGGTGAGAGGACCACAATGAAGTAGCCATCTCTGGCATAAGTGCAGGGACTGTGTCAAAGAAAGAATGCTTATAGCATGTTCACAAGTGCTGCAGGAGCCAGTTGAGTGGAGGAGAAGAAAGGACTGAAACTAAGCAGTACCCACAAATAGGAGCCCAACATTTTACAGTTCTGGCTTTGCTCTGGAGGGCATGTGTTTATATTTGAGACTTCCCTTGTAAAGAGCAGTAATTTCAAGATTCCCTCCTAGAATGAAGGTGTCCTGCACTCACCCTGCCCCATTATTGCTTGTGGCTGCCCTTGAGTCCCATATCTGCCTTCTACTTGCCTTGGTCCCTTCTCCAGCTCTGACCCTTTGGCTTGTCACTTCCAGAGACATCCATCCAACCCTTTGCTCCATCTCCTGGCTTTGCTACCTCCTCTCTCCTGGTGTCTTGTTGCTGAAACATAACTTGACCTATGGACAGACATACTCTAGTGCCAGTCTCCACAAGCCAACTTTACACCTGGATCAGTTGCCTCTCCTGGCACTGATTTCCTTTCACTCAGACACTCTGAGAGTCCAGTAAATGATGGAGCCACCAGCCTGTCCTGGTTGTTCCACCTGCAGCCTCTCTTGGCTGACAGTAGCCTCTCTAAGCCACACCTAAGGTCAGTCCCTCCTTGTAACCATCAGCATCACCATATGTGACATGGCCCAGGCCCTCTGCTATGGCTTCCTCAGTCTACAAATGAGCAGGGGCTTGCCAATGCTACAGCCTCATCATGGCTCACCTTTCTGATGCTTCTCAACTACTATACTGCCAGAAACTCCCCAGGCATTTTCAGAAATGTTTAAGCTCTAGTTGCCCTCGGAAGATAGGGCCTACCTCTCTGGATCCCTATTCTGTGGCTTGATCAGAGATATCAAAAGGTATCAAAAGGTAGCATTTTCCATGTTAACAAGTATATCCCCCTTTTATTGACATTCCAAATGGGCTCAAATGGGATAAACTGGGACAGACTCAAAGGGATTGAACATAGCCTGCATTGCCAGTGACTCCTTTGCTTAACATCCCAGGAACGGGGCATGTGTCCACAAATTGTAACTGAGCTAACAGGAGATCAGCTGGTCTTATTTTTTGTAATTTGGGATTAATTGCCAGAACTGTTCCCAAAAAACTCTGTAAAGTAGACAATTCAGTTTTATGTTTTCCCCACAAAGCTTGTTTTTCAACTTCCCAGAAACTTAGAAGTTCCCAGGCAAGAAAGTAAGTCCTGACCACTAGGGAGCTTGTTTTGATCCTGATTCCTCAGGGCATGAAGAAATATGAAAGATTTCCTAATAGGTGAACCATGTTGAAAGCCATGCGGGGGAAGCCTGCTATGACATCAGTGGGAAAAAAACCAAATAGCCAAACAAACACATAAGCAAAAGCTGGAGGTAGGGGGTCTGTGAGGAGGCTATTGCCATTTGTCCAAGTGAGAGGCATTCGGAACCTGACCTGGAGATGACAGAGGACAGAGGAAGCATCACAAGGGAAACTTCAGGACCTGGGGACTGACTGCAATGGAGGTGGGGCAGCAGGCCCGGAACAGATGACTGTACACTCAGTGCCTCAGCACAGACACCTTACCCAGATTCCAGAATCACAGGCCAGGTTGACCCTCTTCTTCCAGATCATGGTCAGTGGGAGGAAGGCAACACAGCCTAGGCATTTGGCCTGAGGCACAGGTTTGATTCCTAGTTAGTTGCTGAGTCCCTGAGACTGGAACTTTCTATGGCTTCATATTGTGAACTTCAGGCTCCTCTGGCTCTAGAGCCTTGGGGAAATGCTGACAGGTAAATAAGAGAACAGTAGCCTATATATACCTTTTGTAGATGACTTTTGTGGATGATTGAAAACTTGTGGTTATTTTTAGCACCTAAGAATCCCGAGCCCCCAGAACTTATCATCTTGATTGCAACTGGACTTATAGCTACAGTTTTTTGTGGGACTGTGTTTGTTCTAATTATGTGGAAGTGGAAAAAGAAGAAGAAGCAGCCAAGGTGAGTCAGTCCTTGTCCTCCCTGAAGATTGCCACTTTGTAGCTACTTCCCAATTGGCTGCCTCCTGGAGCTGGTTGGCTGAACCCAGACTGGCAAAAAGTCAGCAAGTTGTTGGGAAAAAAGTTTTCCCTCAGACTTTGGAGACTATTTAGTCTGGACTCAGCTGCTGATCATACTGCTCTTGGACTTCAAAGAAAGGCAACATTTATTTATTTTTTATTTTTAAAGATGCGGGGTACAATTCAGGGTTAGGCATACATGTGTTCATTATGCAGGTACCCTTGTTGATGAGGTGCCCCTCCCTTACCTGGCAGCTTCCCTCAACTGCCAATCCCACCCATACCCCCATCCCCTGGGATTTTTCCACTACTGCCAGTCCCTTTCTTATAGTATTATGATAATTGTTCAAGGTCCACTTATGAGTGAGAACATATGGTACTGTGTTCTTTGTTTCTGTGATAGATCACTGAGTATGATAGTCTCTAAATCCATCCACGTTGCTGTAAAATCTATGTTTGTCCTTCTTTATGACTGCATAATATTCCATTGTGTATATGTACCACATTTTTTTTTTTGGTCCAGTCCAGCTTCAGTGGGCAGCATGGTTGGTTCCATGTTTTTGCTATTGTGACAAGAGCTGCAACAACATGCATGTGCAGGTATCTTCTTGGTAGAATGACTTGAGTCCCTCTGGGTATATTCCCAATAGGGGGATTGCTGGGTCATATAGAAGGTCAGTTTCTAGTTCTTTCAGAAATTGCCACATTGTCTTCCAAAGAGGTTGCACTAGTTTGCATTCCCACCAGCAGCACAGAAGCATTCCTTTTTCTCCACATCCTTGCCAGCATCTGTAGTTGTTTTATTAATGATGGCCAGTCTTACTGGGGCTAGGTGGTATCTCAGTGTAGTTTTGATTTGTATTTCTCTGATGATTAGTGAAGCTGAGCACTTTTTCATGTTTCTGTTGGCTGCCCATATATTTTCTTTTGAGAAGTGTCTGTTCATGTCTTTTGCCCACTTTTTAATGAGGCTATTTATTTTTTTCGCTTCCAGCACGTTTGAGTTCCTTATAGATTCCAGATGTTAGGCCTTTGTCAGATATACAGTTGGCAAATATTTTTTCCCATTCTGTAAGCTGTTTCCCCACTCTCTGGATGGTTTCTTTTGCTTTGCAGAAGCTTGTCAGTTTGATGAGGTCCCACTTGTTTATCTTATCTCTTATGTTATGGGCACTTGGGGTTTTGATCAGGAGTTGGTTACCAGTTCCAATTTCCATAAGGGTGTCTCCTGCATTTTCTAAGATTCTTATAGTTTGAGGTTTTACATTAAGGTCTTTGATCCATTTAGACTTAATTTTTGTGTGTATGGTAATTGGTAGGAGTCTTGTTTCAATCTTCTGCGTGGGATCAGCCAGTTTTCCCATCACCACTTACTGAATAGGTTCTCCTTTCCCCAGTGGTTATTGTTGGAGGCTTTGTCAAAGATGAGTTGGTTGAGAAATTGAGGCTTTGCTTCCGGAATCTCTATCCCGTCCCATTGGTGAAAGGCAACATTTCTAAACTAAGGTTTACAGATATACTTCTGGTTTTCAGGCAAAGATGATTATTACTTGCTTTATCTACCTCCTTTCATGAATTTACTTTGACAAATCAATGAAGTAAAATGGTGAAAACACTTGTAAATGCTAAAGGTTATGCATCTAGTGGTGTTCAAGGAGGGATGCTTGCTAGATGACCACAAGATTCATATTCTCATCCTTAAAAGTCTAGACATCCTATGAAATAAGTTAGATGACTTATTCTTCATTGATTTGTAAAAAAATAATATTAACTTTTGCTGATAATAATATCCATTATCAACTATATCAAAAATGAAAATCATCCTTACTTCTACTAGTATAAAAAATGATTATGCAGACATTTTTGTTGCATATATTCCATATTTTTAATGTATAAATCTGTTATTTTCTGTAATTAGGATACTTTTATAAGGGTTGTTTTTCACAAATCGGATAATATCATATGTACTATTTTCTAATTTCCTGTATTACATTTAGCAAGATAATTTTTAATGTCTTAAATATTCTTCTATATCATCACCTTATTTTATTTATTTATCTTTTGAGTAGTAGTCTCACCCTGTTGCTCAGGAGGGAGTGCAGTGGCATGCTCACAGCCACCATAGCCTTGACCTGATGGGCTCAGGTGATCCTTCCGCCTCAGCCTCCCAAGTAGCTGGAACTACAGGCATGCACCATCATGCCTTGCTAATTTTTTTATTTATTGTAGAGATGAAGTCTCGCCAAGTTGCCCAGGCTGGTCTCAAACCCCTGGGCTCAGGCAATCCTCTTGCCTTGGCCTCCCAAAGTGCTGGGATTACAGGCTTGAGTCACCGCACCTGGCCCTACAGCTTCACTTTAAAAGGCTACAAGATATTCTATTATGTGCATGCATCTTTATTTATTTATTTAATCAACCCTATTTGTTGGACACTTGGGTTATTCCAACAGTTTTTCTATTTATTATAAACAGCCCCCCCCCGACTTCTGTTGTAAAAGTGTTTAATGGGGGCAAAGTGATCCCTGATTTTATAATAATCCCATGACTTTGTGTTGTGGGCTGGTTCTAAGATAAGATTGACTTTATCTCAGTAATTCCCTCTAGTAGTAGTTAGTTTGGTTGGTGCTAATACTTAAGGTAATCTTCTTAGGGTAGAAAACAAGATGAGTAATATTTCTGGCAAGCATCTTATTTAAGATTTCAGTGTACTGATTTTAAGACCTAGCTAGAAAATAGATGGATGACATTAGCAGAATTCATTGCATTCTGTTGTATTTTAAAAACAGGACTTTGGGGAATAAAATGATCACATTTAAATAAATTAATTCAAAGCATATGGCAGAGCCAAAGTATTGAATATGCTGAGAAATTTCTATAACATAAAAGTGTAAGTTAAAAGTAAAAGTATTTTAAAATTTATACTATATAAATTCAGAGCACAGGGTCAGATGTAGAAACATATCATCCTTGCCTAGGCTTTGGCATTTCTTTTCAAAAATGTATTTAATGATTATAGAGTTGTGGAGTACAAAGGAGGATTTACTACATAAGTAGGCTGCATGCAGGTGAAGTTTGGGCTTCTAGGTGGCCCTCACTCCCCCTAGTGACCAGGTATCCTTTGTGTTGTCATGTGCTCCCCTGTCCTCCTCCTTCCCTCCCTAGCAATGCCCAGAGACTGCTGATCCTATCCTTGCGGTGATGTGACTGGTGATCAGGGTCCACTTATGAGTGAGAATGTGCAGTATTCAGTTCTTTGTTTCTGTGATAGTTCACTTGGTATGATCGTCTCCAACTGCATCCAGGTTGCTTCTGCAAAGGTCATGGTTTTGTTCTTCTTTATGGCTGCCTAATACTCCATAGTGTATTTGTACCACATTTTCTTTATCCAGTCCACTTTCAATGGGCAGCAGGGTTGGTTCCATGTTTTTGCTGTTTGTGAACAGTGTGGCAGGAAACATGAGTGTGCAGGTGTCTTTTTGGTAGAGCAATTTATGTTCCTCCAGGTAGGTTCCCAAGAGAGGGATTGCTGGATTACATAAAAGATCACTTTTTAGTTCTTTCAGGAATTGACACACTGCTTTGCATAGAGACTGAATTAGCTTACATTCCCACCAACAGCGCAGAAGCATTATCTTTTCTCTGCTGCTGCGCCAGCACCTGTTGTTTTTTGACTTATTAATGATACACGTCCTTACCAGAGTTAGGTGGTATCTCATTGTAGTTTTGATTTTAGGTGCTGACATTTCAAGGTGAGAGTTCTTAGCTTCTCTTTCTTTCAATCTCATTGCCATTTAGAACTAGCTAGATGTGCAGAGGGAATAAGCTATTTCCTAATTTTGCATTCACACTGGAATGATAAGCTTACAAATAAAACAAAAAAGAAGGGATGGAGAAAAAGCAGTAAGAATGTTTCTTCCCTTGTGTGACAATCAGAAAAATTTAGGAGACTAGATAAGGAGGATGTGTGTGTACACATGAGAGATGTCAGAAGGGGGTTGAATAAGCTATGTGTGTATATATATGGTCAAATTAGGCTATGAGTGGTAAAAGACAAAAGACCAAAAGACAGAATAGCACATATGACTCCCAAGAATGTGATAAAGAATACCGGTAGGAAAAAAGTTGTTGGGCCAGACAGTCAACTGTGCCAGAGAGTTTGGTCAAAAAGAGGAGCCCTGATATCACTGGAGAGAGGGATATGTACTATGTATAACCATACCATATAGATACGAGATGTTTGTAAATTTGGGTTCTGTAACTTCAGCAATATCTACCCTTGCTTTGTGAATACATCCAGCATTGGCTATGTGATAGACAGAATAATGCCTCCACAAGATGTCTACTTCCTATGCTCCCGAACCTATAATATGTTATCTTACATGGCAAATGGAACTTTACAAAGTACCAACCTTGAGATGGTGACTTTAGCCAGGATTATCCAGGTGGGCCTAATCTAATCACCTTTCCCAGCTGGGGTAGAGCTAATAAGGAAGAGCTGGAAAAAGGAAAAACATTCTGAAACTTGAGAGGCTCAGTTCACCGTTGATGGTTTGAAGATGGAGGAAGGAAGCCATGAGCTAAAGAATGTGGGTAGCTTCTAGAAAATGGAAGTGGTTCTCGGTTGGCAGCCTGCCAGCAAGGAGATAAGGATCTCAGTTCCACAACCACCGGGAACTGAATTCCGCCAACCAACAGATGTGAAAGCAGTCATGATCCAACCAGAGACACTAGCTTACTGATAACCAGTAGGAATTTCTCTGAAACTGGAGCTTCCTCCTATTCCAAACATTAATTCTTTTCTCCGAGGAGACAGTCTTCAAACTAACTAACCTGACATCAGAAGCCCTTTGTTCATTAATTATAGTTTTTCTATGCCTCAACTATAATATTTACCCTGTTCAGTAAATGAATAAAAGGGAGATGCCACGGTTATTTTAACTT